TTCAGCATATGAATATTCTTACCCCTGTTTAGTGCACATTTTGAGAGTGAGAATGCATTTTTACTGTTGATGTGATGGAGAATATGTGGTTGAAAAAGAAGGAAAAGTTATTGATGTGATGGAAAATATTATTTTATTGAAAAATGTGTGGCTGAAAATGAGAATTGATTTACTGTAGAAAATGAGAATCCCTACCAAACGGGCCCTAAACAACAGTTAAAGTGCCCAAAAATAATTACCAACTTGTAGTCAAAATTCAACACTTCAAATATGGCAAATAATTTCTAAATTTCAGGCATAAGCAATGGTTACCTCTTCACGGTCACCCCAACCCTAATATCAGCCACACGATGACTTGCTAATGCTGAAAATTTAAACGGGATGAGCCGATTTATCAGAGCGAACCTATCTGAGTTCGTAAATTACGAGAGATGTGAATTTACTACTTTAGGGTCACGATTTTGGCCTAAAGTAATTCAATAAATGTATTGCAGTTGCGACCGTCAAACCCACCAAGGGAAAAATGGTCCAACTTTTTCCGCGTAACTTGAAACACGAAGACAATAACATCAGTACGTTTAGGAAATCAAAATAAGCAAACTGTCTGAAGAAGACGTCACCGGAAAACCAATCCACACTCTTGCACGTGCAGCCCAAGTACTCTGCACGTGGGGTTCACGCCCGCCACCGACCTCACGTACTGTCACCCAAAAGCGCCTCCACCTGCACGTCACTTCGGTGGTCTCCGTTTCACCAACCGGTCACTGATTTGGCCGGAAAATGGGTTTGCAGGTCCCCTTTTTTGTACAGTTTTTGGACACATTCTTTTTGCTGATTGGTCCGTTTTTGGATGGAAATCCACCACCAACATGCTCTAATACCAAATGTTGAATTTAAGGTTCCAACCACACCAATAACCAGCTCAGTTAACACCAAATCGACACCACAATCTTCACAACCAAAACGTACCAACCTTTCTTGACTGCCCACAAAGGGCTAAGGGTGATGAATATTGTAGCCACAATAATCAGCCATAAAAGCTAAGAGAAGTGGAGAAGAGGACGACACAAATCTAAGGAGAAAGCACAAAGCCAACGACACTCTCCTCTCTCTAAAACACGGTTGCCCACAATATTCACCCACCCTCGAACAGTAATGGGGAAATACATATAAATGGGGAATTAGGTATGGGCTTTAGGTTAGAGGAGTAGTGCTCAATAGGTAACAATAAATGGGTGTCACCCTAAAGCCGTCCAAGGTAATGGGTCGAGCCATGAGTAACACTAATGAGATTAGGTTACTTCAAATGACTCAAATTGGTTGTTTGAATGGTTTGTCCGATTTTGGTGTCGACGTTTCATTTCACTCATCGGTCGAAGCCTATGAAGTATAATCCAATAAACTGGTTTAACATCATCGCCCGAATTTATTGGGTATCAATAACCCAACATCTACCAATCTCAATTTGAGCTTTGAGCATCACATTTATAAATATTTCTATCCATCTCAACTTTAGAAGACAAATGGCAAGAAAAAAGAAAAAGTAGAAAATGAGTTGCAATGGAAATGAGAAATGAATTGGTGGTTTGGATTCTTTATTTTCTAGTGCCAAAGGGAGAAGAAAGCCTTGCCATTGTGTTGCCGGAGAATGAAGTGGCACGGGGCCGAGTGGAGTGGATGTGGAAAAGAGGTTGTCAGTGGAGGAACTGGTGATGAAGTGCAGTGTCACTACAGCTTGGCAAGGAAGGTTTTCCAAATGTGTTTGTGGTTTTTTTAACTATCTATCGTGGAATTTTGGTGTCCGAATGTGTGAAAAGAAAAGGAAATACCACCAAAAAAGTAAAAGAGGATATGTTGGTATATAATAAATAATGCTATTTATCACCGGTTAGATAATAAGTTGGAAATTACTGTCACTGACACTGTGGACCGTTGATAAATAATATTATTCATATATACCTATTTACTTGTATTGAAATTGTTTTCCTGCCCATAGTGGGCTTACCCACTTGCTGATATAACAAGAGAACATTACTTACAGTTCTCTTCAAATGGGAGAATCGTAAGTATGATTCTCTTTATTAATTTTTAATAATACAAGTTCAGCAATATATATACACAGCAATCGATCAAGAATGTTCTAGAATTTAA